ACTGAGCCAGTTATAATCCATTGCATTCCGTATTTGGTTGCAGTTCTATTTTATTATTCCAACTTTTTACTAATTGTGTTTTTTTTTAGGAAGAATAGGTTTGAAACGGACGTGTATGCATATACTTCCTTCCGTTTAAATATTCCTCGTTAGAGAGCTCCGATAATAAACGCGTCCGATCGCTGGTAAAGTTATGCCATGCTTCTACCACGCCGGCCGCCCTGCACCACCGCAAACGCTACGTCTCGAAACTTTTAAATCTGTAATACTTGTATTTTTGCATCAAAATCCGCTGCGTAGTTTTAAGGATTTAAGCATACWAAGGCACTTAAGGACGGTAAAAGCGACTTTCTTTTATGCTATGTATTGATAACGACATAACCCTATGCAGGTATAGTTTTTTTTTTTAAATTATTTTATGGTGGTACCAAAAATTGCCGAAATAAAACCAAAACTGGTTAAACTCAATGTACGGGATATACAATTGATATTCAGAGAAACTTTTTCCTTACTAGTATGCACGGTGTTTAATATACAAAATAAAATAAAAGTAAATGGCATCGTTGCATATGTTATTATTATTATTTAGTTTTCCATCCAAATTCTACTTTGGATTGAATAATTTCATATATATTAGCGCGCAGCTAACCGAAATTTCATTTTAATCACTTTTGATTGTGAGTYCCACAAAAAATAAAAAATCACTAATTGTAACTACCTTCTAGCGAGCAATAATCTGCTGTACAAAAATTGGTTTGAATAAGTTGTAAAAGGATATTTTCAGAAGTGCTTCTGTGCGTGAATTCTTGGGAGTGAGACGTAGCTTGAGTTAAGTAAAGCAAATTTCTCCTTTCTTAAATACCACAGAAAACTATTTGAAACTTACGACAGTTTCAAGGCTTGCGTAAAGTTAATAACAAAAGGCAAACAATTTTTTTTTCTCCCGCTTGGAAGCCATAAACACATACATGGTTGCGGTTGTGGCGAGCAAAAACGCTGCAACAGTTGCCTGCTTAAGAAAATATTTACGCGAGCAAGCGTATGATGCGGAAATTGTGGGTAAGGCATGGTATGTAATGGAGTAAAAATGGACTATGCCAGAATTGCTCGAACTGAGATAGTAGTGGTCCGGTGATTTATGACTACGTATAAAAGAATATTTATATTACATAGTGAATATAAATAGTTAATACCGTTAGTAATTCATAGTCTCATGGTATGGCGTAAAATATATAATATGTTGTTTCGACTTTTCTAACATAAGATAAGTCTCTTAATATGATCAAAAGGGGATATCCGGAAAAATGTTTTATCTTATTTGGTCTCTTCTATTTTAAGCGAAAATTTCTGTAGAAATCATCAGAAATTCCCATTTGTGCATTCATATATACATAGTTGCAACATTCGAAGTGGTGTGGCAGAATGTAACGAAAAGTTCACTAATACAATAACGAAAGTTAAACTTTTTGTATCAAGTTTGTTCGAGTAGATATTCAAGCAATAATACCATGGAGGTAAAAGTGTTACTGACAGTCCCCAAGTTTTCAAAAACAACAACAATTCACGTAACTGCAAGTACAGAAATAACTCTGAAATTCTTTAGCCAAGCTGTCAAGTGGCGCAAGTGTTGCTTTCATCTAAGTGGGTGTGAATATGGRTTTTTTGCTGGAATTTCTTGGCATCGAATTTCTCGCTATAAAGAGGAGGCAGTTCTGATCCAATATGTGGCTTGGCTTACTTTTTAAAATAAGGCTCACTCTATGGTATGTATTACATACATATATGTATATTTTAAATAATTACACTACCCAACTAATCTGAAGGAAAAATTYGCGACTGATGTGCCAAGARGTTTGTGGGATATTTGAGATGTTCTTGTTACGAAATTTTGTTAAAAAAATTTCCATTGTCATTTTTGTATATGAAGGTGCTTTGACCCATTCAAGCTTTGACCGCAACACAAAAAGTCTCACGTGTTAGGAAATTTATACTTTCATTTTATGTTATAACATGTAAAAATTTGCTGTCTCTAACATCTGAGTCGCTTGATTGTAAACTAGTGCTATTGGTTTAGCAATAATCAAATAATAATGCCTTTGCTTTTTTATTTGCAGCTGCTCAACTCAACAGATAATGTGGTGGTGTTGCGACGCGTCACTTTACAGTCAACTGGGCGTTATCGATGCGAAGTTTCCGGTGAAGCCCCCTCCTTCCAAACAGTTTCAGGGCATGAGGACATGATTGTCGTCGGTAAGTCAATACAAGTTTATTGATTTATATTTTTTAGTGCTCACATTATTTTTGTAAAAATAAATTTCCGAACACATTTCTGGASCAGAGAGCCAGTTAGTGGCATAATAAATACGCGATATCATGTGTTTGCGTTAGACATTTCAAGAAAATTTTTTTGTTAGAACACATTTTTCACTAATCTATATATATAAAAGAAAGTTGTTGTTAGTTACACCATTTATAACTCAAGAACGACTGAACCGCTGA